ACTCCTATTTTAATATATATATATATATATATATATAAATTAAAAATTTTATTTTTTATTGAAAGCTAAAAATTAGAATAAATAGATTATTAAAGAGTAAGAAATAATATAAATATGTTTATTTTATTGTGGCACACTGAAGTCAAGTCAAAGACAATACTTTTACTAGTCCCCTAAAGAAAGGGATATTGTAATTTGCTTTGGGGAGGAGAGTGAGAAAATTGTATGGTATGGACTATGGAGGAAGAAAGAGAATATCGAAGGTAAAAAATTTGGCCGACCTCGGAGTGGACCCCACACTCCTCTCCACGGCCTTGGATGAGAAACTAAACTCAACCAATAGAATGCAATAGGTCGATGTTGGGTTTATAGGAAGGAAGGAACTATGTTATGTTTTGTTATTGTGAAGTGAATCCACGAAACAAAAACTTCAACAGCTGTAATAATCAAAGAAACAGTGTCAGCAATAAAAACACAGAAAGAAACTGCAAAAGTCAATAAGGGCAACCTATGCCTTTTGGCCCCCATTCCATTGCTAACACAAAGACTTTCTCAACAAAACCAGACGCTTATCTAGTCTTCCAAACCATCCTCTATTCCTATTCTATCAATCAATCAATATTATAAGACTTGTTATGTTCTTCCTGTAATATTTTTTCTTTCTTCTTCATCCTTCAACCATTAATTTAGAGACCACCCACTTCCCTTGCAGATCTTTTTCTGGAGAAAAGTTTAGATTTTTTCATCGGTAAGGGACTTTTTGGATTACCAGTTCATTATCTGGCTATTGTGAATTTCTCCTTTTTTTTATTTTGTTTTTATGGGCTGATTGAATTGTTTGTTTCATTGATCGCCCTTTTTTTTTTCTTCTGCTAATTCACAGTTTTTGGAATTCTTTTTCTTTGGAAGTTTTGGACTTTTGTCTCATGTTGAGTTTTTGTTTGCAGTTTTTGTGATAAGAGTTAGATGTTGAGTGATAGACGGAAAGGTTGAGGTGGGGCTGGATTATATGGATAGTCTTTGTTGCTTCAGTTCTGTCAGTCAGGTGAGGAATTCTGTTCCTTTGTAATATTTTCTTCTTTTTGTCTTGGAAATAATCAATCTTCATATGCTATTCCTTACGGTTTAGAGGTTTCCATCATATGACCTGGTTTCATAATGATGTCATATGGTTAATGGCTGCTTGAGTGTTGAGAATTAAGTTCTGGTGCTGTGCTTGTGAATGGACTTCTGACTTTTACAAATTTTGTTTTCCTAATCTTACTTGACGAATTTTTCTTTTTAAAATATAGATTGTTGTTATGTATTAACGGTTGTGACTTGTGAAGAACCAACTCTTCTAAAAGCTTAAGCTTTTGTGTAGAGACCTAAATACGGTTTTATATCTCTATCATGCTCCTTTGTGGAAGAATGTTTTGGACTTGAAATTTAGATTGCATGTTGGAATGTTGCCTTAAGTGCGGTCCCCTTAACTCTCCTTAATGGTGGCCTATTAGAGTTAGTTGCAATATCTCGAAAAGGGCTACTTACAGCGAGGGGTTGACTAGAAAGGTTGAGTGAAGTTTCATAGTGCATAGCCACGGATGGTGGCTCTTAGGTGGTTGAGATCACGAGATATGGTTGAGAATCCAAATTTTAAGAGTGCACATGCCTGCTTTATCTCATACTAGCATTTAATTATAAAGAACAGTGGGGTCATGAAGGTTTTTCCTATACTTGGATTGCATTACAAGGATTTTGTTACCTTGCTTTTGTATGTACTTGATAAGTATATCTAGGAGCTGGTGACTCAATGCTTGCCTTCTTATTATGATGTAGTCCTAGTGAGAGAGGAAATTAAAAGTTGTGGAGAAAAGCTTTGAATTGCATGATTTCTGATTAAGCGAAAGAAAGAGTGAAAGGAATGCAATTTCAGCAGTACATGTGCTAGCATTGGCTTGGATGTGAAAATTGGCAATCATACCATACTAAAAATTTATGTGGTTTATATATCTTCTATTTAACATGTAACCAAAAAAATTATCTTCTATTTAACAAGCAAAGTGATGGAGAAATTGGAGATGAAAATCACTGGAATTTAGATAGGGTGGATAAAATGGATAAATGCCTGTCGTATTTGTGACCAAAAGGTGCACATCAGGCTTAAAGGAAGATTTGACTAAATATAGCTATAAGACCGACTATATTTTATGGTATGGAATCTTGTGTTGGAATTGTCATTTATGGGTTTTTCAAGGCTGAAATAATCATGTATGGGTTTTTTCTATTCGTAAAAGGTCAGGACATGATGCATTGAACCTCAAAGAGGGCTAGCCATTTCTTGGCATCTTCCTTCACTGCCTGAAAATATTGATGTCAGACTGCAAAGAAGTGTTACTTGCATCATGAGAGAAAGTTAATACTGAAACAGGTAGGATAGAGAACTTTCTCCAGTATATAGGTAGGTGTAAAGATTGAACCGGCATTTGTCAGATATGTTTAATTTCAAATGGCTATTGTTAATGATGGTTAACACCAAAATGGTCTGTTGTGCTGATCAGTGGGTTTTTGTCCACATTCCTGTGATGTCTCTTTTGTTTCCATTTGGTGCCATTTATTGTGTTTATTTGTGCTGGTAGGCAATATTTTGGTATCTTGCCATTGATAGATTTATTGCAGTTCCAGGCATTGATAAAATTTGAGATACCATGACTAGATGGAAATATGAGATCACTGAGTAGGGAATATGTTTCTGACTTTCTCTTAGTGATATCTTGCAACTTATATTCCCCTATGGCAATCACCGATGTAAAGTTTTTCTTTCCTCCAATATATATCATTGAAATTATGAAATATGTAAATTTTTAATTTCTCTATCTTTAGGTGGTTGGAGGGCGTTCTTCATGTAACTCTGGCAAAGGCAAGAGCAGCCAGTCCTCGGTCAAGTATGGCTATAGCCTGGTTAAAGGGAAAGCAAACCACCCGATGGAGGACTATCATGTAGCAAAGTTTGTCCAGTTCGAAGGGCGAGAGCTCGGGCTTTTTGCTATATATGATGGACACCTCGGAGACAGTGTACCGGCCTTTTTACAAAAGAATCTCTTTTCTAATATCTTGAAGGAAGTGAGTTGTTCAATCAAACTAAAGATATTATGCATTTATTGCCTTCATCTCATCTGATTTATCTGGAAAAGGGTTTTTCCTTCCTTTCTATTTTATATTTCACATAGTACAGAAACAAACTTTCTATTTTCAACTTCTCGTACTTTTTGGCAAACAACTATGTAAAAGGATAAAAGTCTGTTTGAATACAAACAAACTTAGAAGAGCTTTCAATAGCTTCTTTGTTGAAAATAAATAGCTTTTTCCAGTAGAGAAGCTCTTAAAATCTCTTTTAGGTTGTATCCGGATAGGCTCTAAGTCATTTTAGTTTTAATGTCTTTAGAGATTGGTATGTCCTTGTGAAAGAACTTTGAAAGGATGCATAATAGTAAATTTAGATTATTATACTTGTTTTAGTGCCTTTGTTGAAATTATATTTATGAATGTGAATTCATTATCCAGGAGGACTTCTGGAATGATCCATTCATGTCCATTTCTAATGCTTATGAGACAACAGATCGGGCAATTCTTTCTCACAGTCCTGATTTGGGGCGAGGAGGATCAACTGCAGTGACTGCAATTCTTATAAATAATCAGAACTTATGGGTAGCAAACGTGGGAGATTCACGAGCTGTTGTGTCAAGGGGAGGGGTGGCTGCACAGATGACAACTGATCATGAGCCCAATACTGAGCGGGGCAGTATTGAGAACAGAGGTGGCTTTGTCTCAAACATGCCAGGTTCTTCAATTAACCCTGAGCTCCATGAGTTGTTGCTTTAGATGTTGAATGCTGATTTATCTTTGCATACGTCGAGTTTTCATTCATATCTTGTGATGGGGAATAGGATATATGGTATTATGCGTCTCGTAATCTAATTTGCATTTTCAAATTACAACATGTGACTGAAAGAGACGGAAATGATGTGTGTGAGAGATGAGGCTTTTGATTATGCTATATGCGTGATTTATATTCATTAGAAAAGTAAACGATGGGTTGAATGAAAGTTAAAACTTAAGTTAAAGATGGGTTAAATGAAAGTTAAAAGGTTGTCCTTTGTGTTGTTAAGTTTCAGTGGTTATAGTAGTAGAGTAAGTCACAGTCCTTTGTAATATAAAAGAATGTTTCTTGTTCTGTCCTCATGTCCAAAATGTGTTAGAAATGTTCATATTTCAATGAAAGAAATTACCCATCTTGCTTTATATAGTGGCACCATTCCAATTAAAAATATGATTGGACTGTATGAGATAGCTGAAAATAGACTGCTCATCAGATGGTCCTGGGTAATGCATGTTAAGTTGTTAGCTTCACCACAGAATAATTCAAGATAGACTTCTGCAATTTATTCAGCATATCGACATTTATATACATGGAATAATAAATACAACTCATAAAAAAGAATAATGAAGAATTGGACTAGTTTTTGTGATCCTAATTTGACCAATGTTTCATAAATCTCTATTGTTTCCAAAGCTATAATAACTGCTGTTACATTTCAAATTCTTCCATTCAAGCTAGGGCATACAAATCATATGCACCGACCTTGTTACAATTACAAACATGGTGAAGCTGAGGATCCCAAAGAAACTATTTGAATATATCTGCTAGTTGATCATCCGGGCCAACAAAAGCAGTGAATTTTTTGGAGAGAAGTTTTTCTTATAGTAAATGAGAATTTATTTCTATATACTTATGTTTAGTTTTTTAAAGGAAAAATGGATTGGATCTTACGTGCAAAGCGTCTTGGTTTATGCATCAAAATATCCTCTTGTTTGATTGTTTCCTTTATCATCATACAATAAACCTTGATCAGGGCTTTCTTAGTATATCTTAAAATTTGAACAACAGCATCCCAGACACTAGTATAATGTGGATTCTGACTAGAAGTGTTAACTGTTAAGGTGTGAAGGTTATGATTCAAACAGAGAAGAAAGAAGGGGGTATGAGAAGATTCATTTAGGTGTTATTTTAGTTCCCAGTTAAGGGAAAGGTGGAAGAAATATATAGTCGGGAGAGTTCATGAGAATGAATGCCAACGATACAAAATTAATGAGAAGGAGCACTTAACCATTGAAAATGGTCATTGTTGTTACGAAAATGGTTATTGGTTCTACATCGTAAATTTTTTTTTGTTACCAGTCCTTCCCATCATTACTCCCTTGACTTTTTGGGTATACACTATGCACTTGTGATATTAACTAAACGTGGTTGCCAACTAATGAAAGAAAAGATGGATACATACAAAATAGTAATATCATATTGCCAATTTACATTTGAGTCACTTTCATTTCTCTACCTTGATTTATTGATTTCAAATTCATTTCCTGCTTTCCCCCTGGATTTACAAACCTAAACGAATTTCCAGTTTAATGTGGATTTTGCACAATTCCCTTTTCCTTCCAAATTATGGTTTACTCTCACAATAATGAGAACCATGTACGTGGCAAGTTTTCTGATGGGAAAATGCTCAAAGAGGGCAATTTATCCCTTTAAATCATCAGCAGAACTAGTCAGATTTACATACAACCTATCCTTTGTATGGAGAGGCTGTTTCTATGTCTATAGCCCATGAAAATATGATAATAATTGGTGTCTAAATTTATATATGTAAATTAAGAATCATTGGATTACATTCAAAGGTTAATATAACAAGCAGTAATAAAAATTACATGCTATAGGAAATTATCGAGTAGTATAAGGGTGTCAAATTTTACAACAAAATCCAATATATACGTGGGAAAATACTGTGATTCCTTTTTGATTGAATGCTTTCTATTTTGTAATAATTTCTTCATTTGTGGGTTATATCAGGAGATGTTGCAAGAGTGAATGGGCAGCTAGCAGTTTCTCGAGCCTTTGGAGACAAAAACCTTAAAACACACTTGCGATCTGATCCTGATATTCAGTATGCTGATATCACCCCAGATATTGAGCTTTTGATACTTGCTAGTGATGGTCTATGGAAGGTTTTTTATTATTCTCTTTTATTTTTTCATGAACAGAGATTTTTTATTTCTGTCCAACAACTACTTTTATTTCATTTTTATTCCAAATTTCCCCCTCATTGCAATAGCTAATAGTGGCATCCTATGTATGGACAAGTGCACAATTGGCGATACATCTAGGATTTCATTTCATTATCATCCCAAACATTTTCCCCTGGAGAAAGGCTAATAATACTCTTCCAAACACACTATTTTTGTTTAAAATTTATTAATAATCACTAAGTCATGCGAGTCCCACTCCTAGTTTAATGAACTTTACAAGATTTTGTAATTTTCAATATATTTTGATCAATAATTAAGAGCGTAAAAAGGAGTGTATGAACACTTCTTTTTTTTCCCCCAAATACTAATGTTTGGGGTGGATTGTGAATTGTACACTAGTGCTCGTATAGGGGGCATGAATTCTCACAAATGAAAATGACCACCATCAAAACCCCATGTTCCCATTTTTTTTTATTATTTAAAATTAAATTCTCTATATATAACTAAGGGTTGAGATTTTATTTGGCATAAATGTCACATGAGAGTATCCAAATCCCCCTATAGCCGTACTTGCGAGTTCCAATAGCATTTTCAGTGGGGTTAGTGGTTGGAATGGGTGTTGAAAAGAGTATGAACAAAAGATGAAAAAAAAAATGATAAAGTTAGGGGATTGGGGAAAAAAAAAAGAACATTTTTTTTAATTGTAAATAAATATTTCATGTGCTTAAATTTTTGATTCATTCCAGGTAATGGGAAATCAAGAGGCTGTTGATATTGCAAGAAAAATAAAAGATCCACAAAAGGCAGCGAAACAACTAGCCACTGAGGCATTGAACAGAGACAGTAAGGATGACATTTCCTGCATTGTAGTTCGTTTCAAGGGTTGAAAAAGGGAAAATACACACACTCTAAATTCAGGGTATATATATATATATATATATATATTCTACATATCAAGGCTTCCCCATAAAGATGCAATTCCATACATGAAATCCGTTATCAATTTGGAATTTTCTGCACAATAGGTTTTGCCCCTTCCTTTCATATGTAAAAATATAAAATTTAAGCTGTTGAATTTAGGTCTTGCCATTTAGTATTACTTGATTTCTTCGTTGTGTAGATTCACACCATAATTTTTCTTTGTAATATGCGTTATGTCATGTGGTGGAGCAGTGTGAAGAAGATGGGCGCAGTTTATACATTGAACATGGGATTTGTGCATTTGTTTTAAAGTGAGTGTATGATATACTTGAAGTGACCCTAGCTTGAGTTGCTTAATCCCTGGCTACAATTCAAGCGACTATAGCAATTGTTTGAGACATGGATTATTATTTTGTTCACATTTTCCATTTTTTTTCTCCTCTTTTTGTTGAGGGGTATATTTGAAAGCTCAATCCATTCAACTTTTCAAGTATTCTTACTATTTGAATTAGATCTAGGTGATTCATGAATGGACGTTCCTTGAGGTTTTTGCTGGCAAAAATCCAGGCTCATATGTTTCATTTCTTATATTTACAAATTAATGACTAGCTATTGATTAATTTAAATTTTGCAAAAAATATATATTAAATAATTGCACCATTCTTCATGATAATCAATAACTATAAAATCAAATATCAAGTCCTGTTGTAACTATGAAAATACTGTTTTAGAAAAATACTAAAACATTGATGATTTTTATTATTAATTAATAAAAGTATAATATTAATTAGGGATGAAAATAAATCAGTTTATCCGAAAGGAAACCTATGGTCTAGTTTATAGGCTAATTTTTTATTTATTAAATTATATTTTTTATTTCTATTTATTTTTAAGATTTAATTTGACTTTATTATTTTTAAATGATTTAATTTTGTTATCCAATTTTTTTTAAAATGTTTAATGTTATCTTTTTGACCAAATTGACACTAACAATATTAATGAAATTGGAAGAAAGAACAATATAAGACATCATTTGAAAATTAGAGGATCAAATTGAATCATTTAAAAATAATGAAACCAAATTGAGCATTCCATAAATAGATGGATTAAATTGAATAAAAATTTATTCAATATTTTTTTTGTTTAAATAAATTTAATTTTTATTTTACCTATTTAATAACTTCTTTTATTAGATAACTCCTTCATTTTATGATCCATGATTTTGTTAAGATAATTAAAAGAAAAAGCTTAAATTTATCTAGACAAAAAAATATTAGATAAATTTTTATTCAATTTAATTCTATTATTTTTAAAATGTTTAATTTAGTCTCATTATTTTAAAAATATTTAATTTGGTCATCTAATTTTTAAAAGCGTTTGATATTGTCTTTTTTTATATAATTTTATTAATATCGTTATTGTTAATTTGGACGGAAGAATAGTATTGATTTTTTTTAAATTAAAGGATCAAATTAAGCATTTTAAAAATAGTGAAATAAACTAAATCTTAAAAATAAACAAAGGAATTAAAAATAAAATTTAGCCAATTTTTTTTTAGTAAATATGTTTAGTTTAGACTTTGTTGTAAATTGTCTCCAAATATTTTGCTTTTATATTTTGTCCCCAAATTTTAAGGATGTTGCAAATAATACTCCACTAAATTGGATTTTGTAACTCTCAAACTTTCACTTTGACACAAATTTTACTCCCAAATAATTTTTCTCCTAAATTTTTTGAATGTTGCAAATTATAACTTTTTGTTAAACCATTTAGAATTTATATTAATATTCATGCAAGATAATGCATAGGTATCAAATAATTCAATACATATATCACATATATTTATACATACTAGTTATAAAAATGATTTTAATTTTAGAGAAGTAGTTATATAAATGATATTAATATTGGAGAAGTGTTGATGCACTAACAACTAGACTAAGAGAGAAAAATAAACATGTTGCTTGATAGTTGATAGGGGGTCTATGGTTTGTCACCACAGATCCACATATTGTTTGCAGTCACTTTTGTTGTCCCCTTGATACTTAAGCTTCATTGAGTCTCATATCTGCTTGTTGGCTTTCTTCTAAAGAATGGTCTTCAAGATTGTATGACAGATAGCCAAGAACAAATAGTTTTTCACTTTCAAGTCTTTCAGTTTTTGGTCCCCCCGTTGCTTCTCTTGAGTAACTATCAACACCATTCCTTTTGGATAAACTATATATATACCTTCTTCAATTAATGTTTAATACTCTTTTAATCGCAAGAAGTTATCCATCAACATTGCCAATAGTCATATAGTTACCATCAAAACGAGGAATTGTTGATGGCACAAAGTTATTATTTTTAGATGTCATTTTTACTTGTTACTATAAGAAGCTATCACTTATTCTCTATCATGCCAGTGGAGGCTCTTGATATCAAAATGTTGAATTATGCAAAACAAAAAACCTGATGCATTCATCGAAATCTTCTATATACTAGTTCAAACTAACTATAAATGCATGCTTAAACTAAAGAGATAAAACAACAACCTACCCATCAGATAACTTGAAAAATTAAGATTCCTAAAAACATGACCTACAACAATAAATTCCAAATAAAACAACAAATTCCAAATAAATACAACTTGACTTATTCAATATAGAAAAATATTAAATAGACTTAAATATGTTTTTAATCCATGTAAATTGAATAAGTTATGATTTTGGTTTGTATAATTTTTTTTCCATCATTCTAAAACTTGTAAACATTGTTGTTGGTCCTTAAAAAATATTTCTAGTCCGTATAAAATAATTGATTTGTTTTATTCCTTATAAAAATATTTTCTTTACTATTCATCTTTCTAAAATCTAAAGTCACTATTTTTGTCCTAATAATGATAATTTTAATGAATATAAATATTTATTTTAAGAACCTATAAATTATTTTTAGATCTATTATACACTAATATGGTGCCACTAGCAATTGCGGATAATATTTGAGATGGTCACTTAACCTTTTAATGAAAAAATAAATAGTTAAAAATATTTCAAAATAATAGAGACTTAAAATAATAATATAAATTTTAGAGGGTGAAAAATAAACAAAAAAATTTATGGGGACCTAAATCAAAATTTGTTCATTTTGTACGATTAAAAACATATTGAAACCTACTAAATAAATTTTAACATTAAATAGATAACATATAAAAATTATTATTTAATAATATTTATACTTAATTATATTTTTAACCCTTATTTTCATCTCATTAAAATGATAAAATTAATGAGATGAAAATAGGGGTAAAATGAGAACTAAGTGTGTAATTTAATCTAAATATTATTAGATATTAATTATTTAGTTATCTATTTAATGTCAGGTCATGATCAATGTTATAATTTTAATGATCAATAGATTGACATTTACTGATGAGACCAAATTTATGTATTTTATAAAATTAGAGGACTAAAATTATAGAATTAAATATTGAAAATCAAAATTACAAATTAAATATTTTTGGGAACAAAAAATTTAATTTAACTATAAATATTTTTAAAGAATTATATTTATTTTTGTTATATATAATATAGTCTTTATATTATATTTCAAACAAGATTTAAGTTGGGATAGAAAAGGAAAAGGAATTCAAATTCCTTTTAAATGGTCTATGCATCAACATATAAAGAATAATTCAAAATTGTGAAATTTAGCCTAAATGAAAAAAAAAAGTAAAAATAGAAGGAAAATCTTTTTAAAATTTTAAAATTTAATTTGATTAGATAATTTTTTTTAATTAAATATGTTTTTAATATCTGAACTTTAATCAATTTTTGTTTTTAGTTTCTGAATAATTTTTTTACCAATTGAAGTTGCTAAACTTATGTTGATTTTCCCTTTTATTCTTTGAATTTTTTCTTCCATTAACATTTTGTTCTCTAGCATACAAAATTTTTGTTCATGGAAAAAAAAAATCATAGACTATAAAACCAAATAAAATTTGTTCAAGAATTAAAAATAAAAATTGACAAAAATTCAGAAAATAAAAACATATTTAATCCTAATTTTTTTAATATCTATAATTTGTAATCCAAACGATTTCTGTTTCCACTTATGCATATAGGTTCACTTTGTAATGAAACCAAGTTGGAAGCCAGAGTGTTCTAGATTTTTTAATTTTTATTCTTTTGGTGTGGAAAAAAACGAAAATGATACTATACCCATTTTGAGCAACTTAAGAAATAAAAGTTGAGAGCATCAGGTTCTTGCTGTATCATTGTGAGAATAAGGATCAGAACCATATCTTTCTTAGACGCAAATGAGATACGCCATTCACAACACATTTTCTGATTTCCCACTCATTCTTCTGTTTCTTCTCTTTTAATAAAGTCCTTAATTCACTGCTGTGGGGTTCTCCTACGTTGGAGAATTGACTAACCTTAACTTAGACTTGTTAAAAGTAAGCATCTCCCAAAGTAGGATTGGATTCTATATTTGTCTCATTTTTTTATATAGAAAGAAAAGAAAAACAATTATTACACTTTTTTTTTAAACACCTGACTTACTCTTTATCAAAGTCATATTATGTGAATACAATATGACTATAATACAGTATGAAACATGTTCATTGATAAAGAAAAAAACTTAAGAAAGTTATCGTCTAAGAAATATTGATACAATATTATTTAAATAATTAAAAGAATTAGTGTAACGATAGAAAAAAAAAAATATATACAATCACACGAAATCTAAAAAGGTATGAATATAATTTAGTCGGTCAATTATGTATTTTCAATGATTAGAAAAGTTTACTTAACGTGAAGGGAAGTGCAAGTGCATGAAGAATGGTGAGAGTTGAGAGCCTAGTATGATTTGCCTATGCTGTGCAACAATAGCATCATAAATTTCGATGCTTCCTACGTGCTTGGCCAACAGAGAAAACTACAGTGGGAATTATGGAAGATAAATCTAAATACAGAAGGTACAGAAAGGGTGTTTCATCTCCCACAAGCACTTGTATGCATGGTTCCTATGCATCCAAAAATATCTCCACTTCTCAGTCAAATGGGGAAGCAAAAGTTGCCTGCAAAAGTTGCAAACCAGAGTGTCTCTGTTGTTGTGTGTGCCTTAATGTTAGTAGTTCAACTTTGGGATCACAAAGTTCAAAGAAAGACTCTGGAATATGCCGTCCAGTGAGGAAAATTGGAGCCAAATTGTTCAAACTTGGTGATCTTGGAAGTTCCAACAAAAATGTGAATTTGCTGAGTGGCCCATTTTCTCCTTCAATGCCTTCTTTCTCAGCCTTGCCTAGCACTAGCAGATATAACAAACGTGCGGTTCTCTGTGGAGTTTCTTACAAAAGGAAACTTAGGCTCAAAGGAACCATGAATGACATCAGGAACATGAAGGAACTTCTCATCAAGAATTTTAAGTTTCCAAAGGATTGCATTCGAGTCCTCACGGGTATCTCAAGAAATTTATTATGTTTCTTCTGTTCCTTTGGATTTCACTTATTCAGTTATATCTTTCTAGTTTGTATTAATGCTTATACAGTAATTTGGTACTTTACAAGGAAAAAAAAATTTCTTATACTATATACTATAGAAATTGAATGAGAATTTAGTTAACAACCAATTTGAAAGTCTGTTAATATGATTGCAATTACTAAATGCTTGTTTTCTTCTCTTGTCAGTTTTTGATTTCAAAAATTGTTTTGCAACCAAAATTTTATATCTCAAGTCTTAACCAAAAAGACTGGGATTCAATCTTCACCTTGAGCATGGAGTTGTGACTCTCTATAAATCCAACTTAGTGAGGAGAAGTTATGCTTTCTTAAAAAAAATGTTTTGTAAAACAATTAATATACTTCTTGACCTTGTGGTACCACTAAATTGTTTCTTGACCATGTCTGCTTTCAGTAACATATTCAACATCCTCAAAGTGTCAGAAAATTTTCTGATTTGAAAAGTAAAATGAATATTTCAGAACAAGAGCAGAATGAGAATTTAATACCAACGAAACACAACATATTGGAATCCTTAAGGTGGCTTGTGAAGGACTGTGAGGCAGGAGACTCATTGGTGTTTTACTTCTCGGGACACGGTTTGCAACAGCCAGATTTCAAAGAAGATGAAATTGATGGGTTTGACGAGACTCTTTGTCCTGTTGATTTCTTGAGAGAAGGAATGATCATTGACAATGAATTAAATTCAACCATTGTTTGGCCCCTAAAGAAAGGCGTCACGCTTCATGCTATTGTTGATGCTTGTCATAGTGGAACAATTCTTGATCTTCTCTATGTTTATCAACGTGAAGAGTAAGTGCACTTCTTTTCATTTTCTGTTTGAATTCTCATTTTTACCTATCGGGAAACTAAGGACTGTTGATAAATTTTTATATAATACTATAATGAAAAAAGATTAAAAAAAATGAAATTAGTTTATCTATTAACTAAAATAACATAAACATAAGTTATTAAAAAGAAAAATATTTTTAAAGTTAATAAGAGAGAATTTCTCTAAATTAATTTATGCAGAAGTTAATAATTTTCAAAAAAGTTTATTTTTATTATTTCTTTTTATTCTCTTCCATTAAAAATATTTATAGAAAAAATTATCTAAACATCTTCAAAGTTTCTCAAAAACTAAAAAACTGATGTACACTCCTAATGGGCCTACGCTTTATGATTTAATATGGTATCACTATCACATCTCAACTTATGTTAATCTATAAAAAGAAAACTAAACTTATAAAATTAACAAAATAAAGGCCCAAACCAGGCTAAACAAACATTAGAATTGACCTATAATCTTTGTAACTCAAGGACAAGGTCAACATATGCAGAATAAGGCCAACAATAAAATAAACAAAAATTATAACACCAAACTATGGATGATGGTAAGCAAGTCCCAAGTTCCCAATCTAGTCGGATTTGAGGGAGAGCGTTGGAGAAAGAAGTCTTATATAAGACAAAATTAAGAAAACTGAAGTGTATATAAATTGGGTGTGAGTCTGATAAATCTAGACTTTTTTCGATAATATGGTAGCTAGCAAACTTCAAACACGAAATAATGAATAATCCAACCACGCACTCTTATTGGTAATGCACTCTACATAAAGAATTTGAACTTGTGAGTTGTATGGTTGCAGTGGCATTTGGGAGGATAACAAGCCCCCTTCAAAAGAACCTATAAGAAAACATACAAGTGGTGGATTGGCGATTTGTCTTAGTGCATGTGAAGATAATCAGACAGCTGCTGATAGTGCAGTAAGAATTAATCTAAGGAATAATTTTTATATTACACAATGCAAATGCAATGCAGTTCAATGATTTGAGAAACCTACGTAGGTATTTGGTGGAAAGGGAATGAATGGTGTTCTCACTTATCTTTTCACAAAAACAATCCAAGAATACCCTCAAATAACTTATGGACGTCTCCTTCAAAACATGCACGACGAAATTAAAAAGATTAACCGAAGCAGATGCAATAACCGCTTATTGCAACATATCTTCAATCGTAAAATTGCTCAGGTTGGACTCCATCACCATTTATTAATGTCCCTAATTTCCACGTAACGTACATGCATGTGTATTTTGCCCCCCAAAAACTATTTGTGATATGCGAGAGATATAGTTTTTATGATGAAACTGAATAAACATTGCAGGACCCTCTATTATCATCATCGGAGAAATTTGATGTTTCTACGACATTGTTCACATTGTGAGAACGTAAGTTTCAAAAGACAATCCTGCGATGAGTTATTAATTGGTTGCAACACTATATTTTCTGATAAATAGTATAGTCGCAGAAAGGCACCAGCAATTAGAGCTATCACAATTCCATACAGTCTCTATATATTAATTTCAACTCTTGCTCCTCAAAATTGCAACTAGCATTTCATTTTCCTTCCTGAATTTTCAATTGAAAGTCATCAAATGTAGTGTGAGACAGATTAATTGAAAGCTAAGTGTGCCTTAATACAATCTTTCATCACTTCTTGTACCTCGTTCTTCCATTTTATTTGAAATTTAATTTGATCACCAAATTCATCAATGTAACAGTAATTGGAATCTCTTTAATTTGATATTTGTTTCTTATAAATTGCATATGTAAGAGCAATGTGCGAAGGTTATATAAACAATTAGGGCGACAAAGAAAATTTAAAGGTCCTCTACAATGAGGCACGTCCAAACCAGTTAATCCTTTATCATATATATCTACTTAATTATCTAGTAATTTCAACGAGGAACAAATGAATTCTATCAAGAAAATTCATTCTTGGCTGTAAAGGAGGACCTCCTCATTTAAATCACGGGCATCCATGCACTGAAAAGAAGAAAAGAAAAACACAACCATTGATTCCACTGTACAAAACTTGCAGGAATATGCTTGTACTCTTGTCTCCTCAGTCCTCACCATCAAATATTGCAACAAACTCCTTTTTTATCTGTAAATACTTATAAAAAAAAAACTTTCAATAAATTAAAATCAAGTTTTTATATCTAAGATTTTGGAAAACTCGGATAAAAGAGTTTTTGATAAATCATGTTAGAAATTTAAATTAATTTATTTTATTTTCTTATTCTTTCTCTTATAAATAAAAAGCTGGAATACATTTCATTGGTTCCTTGTTCCTCGTTCTTTATCAGCAGTAACGTCCTATCGACAGAAAAACAAGCAAGTGAATATTATTCACTCTCCACTAGAAAAAAGCAATTGGAATCCTATTCCGCATCTTACCCTCCAAATAGATAGCGGAAACTGAATTTCACAGACACGTTTGAAAAAAGTCACTCCATCGTTTCCATTGCGTTCATAATTTCTAATACACCATTCATCAATCTTTAGGGAAACAAATGACAAACAGACAAAAAAGATGTAATCAGTGTGGAAGACTATTGGTGGTTCCACAAGAGGTGCAAGTCTTTGAGTGTGCAGTGTGCCATGGCATCACATGGATTGGACCCACCACAAGTCCTTGGAGTCAAGCCTACAGCAACGTTCATCACATTGCAGGTCGTTTTAGAGGCTTTGTAAATACCATAATGGCTAGTTCAGTTAACAACAATTCGGGTTATTATGGGATAACTCACTTTGGCTATTATCCTCAGCCTCAGCCTCAGCCATCATCACTAATGCCATCTTACCATGTATATGGCTCAAAGCGAGCAGTGCTATGTGGAATTCGCTACCATGGAAAGAGTTACGGTCTTAAAGGCTCCATAAATGATGTCAAATGCATGAAATACTTTCTGGTTAAGGAGTTTGGGTTTCCTAGCGACTCCATTCTCATGCTCACAGGTATTCTCATATATATACTCTCTTAACATTGGAAATAAAGACAAAACCCAATATAGTATCATAATGTTATTTTTTATTAGAATTAAAGTTTAATGTAATAAACACCGACTCTTGAAAATCTTTATTATATATATTAAAGAAGTGAAACTACAATTTGATGGAAGAATAATAGTAAACAAAGGGAGGAGACCTTGCCCTTGATCTAAGCTCACCAAAGGGTAGACAAAGGGAGGGTTATGGTGAAGGAATGAAGATAGGCGTGGATAGGAGGTGTTTGGGCGGAAGTGTTTAGAGGGGTTGGTGTATGGTTGCTCAAGTTGGCTCACTCCAAGTGTAGGTGGAGGCCACTCTAGGTTTCCTATTCTCCAAGGGTGGAGATAGGAGGAGGTTAGCCGAAACTAACTAGTGACTAAGGATGGATTTTGAGGCACAAAAGGCTCACTCAATATCATATAATCCAAAGTATTTACAAGTGGTGGGGTGTTGGGTATTTATAGGAGGGGAGGCATCTAGGGTTGCATTTGGAGCAATGCATGGCCGAAATTCACAAGGCAAATGCACTCCAAATGAAATGCCAAATGAACCCTAGATGCTACTTGGTGGCCAAGGATGGAATCTAAGGGGTTAGATTGGCTATTTCTAGGTGCATGATAAGTCCATGCAACCTTTGCCCTCCACTTGGGCCTAAGCCTTTCTAACACCAAAAATAGGTCCAATGCTCACCAAAAATGCGTCACCTCCTCATGTAACACCCTAGCCCAAAATTAAAACCCTAATCATCTAAAGCACCCCATAATACAAGGGTAAAATGGGAAATACAAAGAAAATAAATCCTATGACTAAAATACCCCAAAATACAAGGGTAAAATTGGAA